GGAGAAGGTGAAAGTGAAGCGGTACGTGTCGGGGAAGCGGCCCGACTATGCGCCCATGGAGTCCTCGGAGGAGGAGGATGAGGAGTTCCAGTTCATCAAGAAGGCGAAGGAGCAGGAGGTGGAGCCCGAGGAGCAGGAGGAGGAGCTCGCCAACGACCCCCGGCTGCGGCGTCAGAACCGGATCGCTGAAGATGTGGAGGAGAGGTGAGTGCGGGGGTCAGCGAGGAGCAGTGCCCGCGTCCTGCTCCCCGGCAGGTTTGCGCTTGCAGGGGGCTGGGAAGGCTGGACCCGGCTCTGCTGCACTGCAGCAGGTCCAGTAACGCTGGGCAGGAGCTGAGAACGTTCTCCAGCAGCACGGGAGGGTCTTTGGCTGTCTTCCTGTGCCTGTCCTGCACTGTGCCTCAAGCAGCCCCTCCAGCCTGGAGCGCCTGTTTCCCAGGGCACAGCCCCGTGTCCGGGTGCAGTTACAGGAGTGCAGGTGAAAACAGGATCAGAAATAAAGATAGCTTGGTGTGCTGAGGCTCAGCGTAGTGGGAGGTGTGTGTCCTGTGAAGTGTGCTCTAGGCAGGGAGTAACTGAGTGCCGTTTTGCCTCCTAGCAAGGAGGAGCTGCTGCTGCTTTCTGTTCCAGGAGCAAGGAGGCTTCCTGCTGGGAGCTCCAGTCCTCCTCAGAGCAGGGACAGGGAGGAGCTGTTGGTGCCCAGCCCCTCCAGCATCCTGGGAAGGAACGTGTGGGCTCTGCCTGCGCGCAGCAGTGCCAGGGTTTACCACAGCTTCGCTAGGAACAATTCTTCGCTAGCTGACTGCTTGCAGCCTCTCTGCATTCCGAGTGCCATCATTTAATTGGGGTCTGTTGCAGGCTGGCAAGACATCGCAAAATTGTGGAGCCAGAAGTCGTTGGAGAAAGTGATTCAGAGGTGGAGGGGGAAGCTTGGCGCCTGGAGCGGGAGGACACCAGTGAAGAGGAAGAGGAAGAGATTGATGACGAGGTGCGTTTGCAGAGCCGAATAACGGGCCTAGGGCAGCCCCTGAGCAGCACAGACTGGCACGGCCTTTTGCATGGACATGGGGGCTGTCGGGCAGAGCTGGGCAAGTGTCACAGCTGGCCATGACTGTGCTCATGGGTTACATTCCCCTGCACAGGACGGGACGCTGGGAGAGGCCACCCTGTGTCCAGAGGGACAATAGTCTGGTGCACAGCGGTGCTGTCACGGCGCATTTTGGATGGAGGAGCAAGAGGGAAGCAGTGGCGGGGTTGAGTGCCTGACTCTTCGGTGTTTGTCTCCATTAGGAGATCGAGCGTCGTCGCGGGATGATGCGTCAGCGAGCGCAGGAGAGGAAGACTGAGGAGATGGAAGTGATGGAGTTGGAAGACGAGGGTCGATCCGGAGAAGAGTCCGAGTCAGAGTCCGAGTATGAGGAGTACACGGACAGCGAAGATGAAATGGAGCCGAGGCTCAAACCCGCCTTCCTCCGCCAGTGGGGGAACCATGCGGGCGG